TGAACAGAGAGCGGCTCTCAGCCCTCCGCTCTATTTTGCAGAGTGTCAGAGTGCGCGCCTGTGGCGCTCAATGAGTTCTCCTTTTCTTCTACTCCCGGCCCTGGCCAGGATCCTGTCCTTTCCACTCTTTCTAGTTGTTCATTTTTCACTTGGTTTTGCTTTGTCTTTGCCTAGTGCCTGACGTCAGGAAAACTGCAGTTCAGTGTTTCTGGTTCCACTTGATCTCTGTCTCCTTTTTCCTGGTCTTTCTCTTGCCTTTCAGCACCACACAGCTCTCTGTGGCCGCAGCACCTGACTCTGCAGGCGCACGCTGCAAATGCCACTCTACCACGGCTTCCCTCCCTCCACGTCTCGGGTTCTGTGCTGTACGCCGTCCTGAGACGCTCATGCTGGTGACCTTTTAGTGTCACATCAAAGACGAACACCTAATTCATCTGAAAACTGTGCTAAAATAATCCCTCCAACAGCTCATTTGAGACCGGATTTTTTTTTTCTCTTAAACCAAAAGGAAAGGCTAAATGTGGTATTACATATGAAAATCTGGTCATTATCCAATAAACTGGAAAAGAAGTTACAAAAATGGGAAGACTTAAGGAAAATTCATTCTCCCTGTATTTTTACTTTTAAAAAGTTTTTTCTGAAAATATTTCTGTCAACATCCAAAGCATAACTATACAATAAATAAACAGATCAATAAGATAACTCTCCCTGTCCTCCCTTCCCTTTCCCTCTCCTCCATCCATCCATCCATCCATCCATCCATCCATCCATCCATCCATCCATCTCTCTCTCTCACTGTCTCTCAATCTCTATCTGTATATCTCTCAGCCAGGCTGGGACTGGAACTCCATGGGCAGCTGAGGATGACCCTGAATTCCTCAGAATCCTTCTCCTCCTGTCTCCACATCAAGTGAAAACTGGGATTGCAGGTGCGGGTCCCCTCACTCTGCTTCAGAGGTTTTAATTCCTAAAGTGTGAATAGTGACAGAGATAACTCTCATAAAGTTGCCCTGTGGTCCATCTTAATTCACAGAGCAGGGAGAGATCCTGACACTTTGGAAGGGCTCTGGAAACGAGACAGAGGTTTTAATTCCTAAAGTGTGAATAGTGACAGAGATAACTCTCATAAACAAAGTTGCCCCGTGGTCCATCTTAATTCACAGAGCAGGGAGAGATCCTGACACCTTGGAAGGGCTCTGGAAACGAGGTGGGGGAGGGGAGCAGACAGTGCAGGACTGGGTCAGGGGAAGTCCACGCCTCTTACTGGGATCTCAGGGCATCAGGCCTGAGGGTGGGTCGTGGTGGGAAAGCCTAGTACTGTGGATTCATCTTCTAGTTTCAAGTCTGCCCTTAACACATATGAGTACTTTTGCCTGGACACAGATGACGCGTTCTCAGGTCTCACTCCCATTGGTTGTCAGCTCCTAGAGCCTGCTATCTGGGATGCCATGGTTCCAGGTTACAAACTGAAGACACAAGAGTTAGGACTCAGATTATCCAGAAGTCCAGAGATGGGTAAGGATGTGACAAAGAGCCCTCATTCTGCAGGACAGGGATCAGGGCACAGTCC